GGGGGGGGGGGACCCGCTGGGCTGCAGAGGCTCCTGAGAGCACAGGGTGCAGGGTGCAGAGGCCAGAGAGGAGAGACCAGCAGGCATCCCCACCCAGAGATTCAAAGGCAAGAGGCAGGGGTCTGAAGGCCCAGAGGTGGGGCTCTGACCCCGAGGAGGGGCGAGGGGACAGGAGCACAGATCACTCCGGGGTGTGTGCACCATGTGTGCAGCCTGGCCCCTTGGAGCCTCGGTGCCCTCCTCTGGGACAGCTGGGTGACCGAGACGCAACAAGAGCACGTGTGTAAAGCACTGGCGTCCAGCTGGTGCCGTGACCGGCGCTCAGCACCACGGCCATCTCGCCAGCGGGTGCCAGCAACAGCTCAGGGTGCTTTGCAGGGAGGCGTCAAGTTCACCAGCCCTACTGCGGGGGGCCTGGGAAGCCGATGAGGAAGGAAGTTTAAGCCACTCTTAAGGAATGTCCTCTTTCCATGACAATTATGGGAAATCGCCTTTGGTGACCTGAATTCTCACGGTTGCATTTATTTTTACTGGTCGCCAAGTCTAATTAAAAATGTTACTCGAGTTCACCGGGTTCTTCGCATTCTGGCTGGTTATACTTAGGGTCCCAGCAGCTCTTGAACCAGACTGTCATGTTAACATTCAGAAATGATGGGCGCAGCAAGGGCAAGAGACCAGAGTTAGATGCACGTTGCAGTCAAGAGTCAAATGAGCTCTCGGAACCCTGGGCTTGAGGGAGACTCGGAGGTCGCTAGGAGAATGTCTAGATTTCTAACAGGGTGGAAGCATTTGAAATCCCATTTTATACTCCTGCTATCTTACCTCTCTCTCTCACCCCCAAGCAGCAAAATATTTTTAACTGAGTTGGGGAGCTCTGTGACACAGTACCAAGACCTGAACACAGACTATAATAGTACTACGTGCCAGGCCCTTCATGGAGCATCGTGTTATCTCGTTTCATTGTCACAGGACAATCCGAGGTAGGTAGGTATTATCACCCCCTGTCCTAGTTGAGGAATCGGAGGTGTAAGGAGCCTGGGTGGCTCACCCAAAGGTCCCTGTTAATGGCAAGTCTGCCTGAGCAAAGTGTGTGCTTTTTAATGTCTAACCTAAATGGCCTCAATTTCTAATTCACCTACACAGGACCCTGTCTTGGGGACTTTTGTCCTTGAGAGGTGACTCGATTACATTTCAGCGTCTGGTGGCACAATGTTCTAAGGCCAAACCTGCCTGAGGGCTCTCTCCCCGCCTGGGAACCTGTTACGAAGCCTCCTCAGCCGTAGCCTCCTTCAGTCCCACCCTTCCGGGCCGAGGGTTCTGATCCTCAGTTCTCCCCATCACGATCCGAGTCTACCCTCCCCAACAACCCTTCTCCCCTACGACAACCCTTCTCCCCTGGACAGTGGTGGAGAGTCGCCCCCATAGGGGTGACGTGGCTGGAGAGGTCACTGGAGTCCCCTCCCAGCCCAGCCTGCTTGGGTCAGTCACATCCCGGTCTGGCTACATGCGGGTGGGCGAGGGCAGGGCAGACAACGGATGCTACGAACCGCTTGTGGTTCTAAATAACGGGTTTGGGCCCCAGGATAGCCCCGGAACCTGCCTTCCAGTGACCAGGGCCTCTCCTGGGTCGTTGCCGCATGGATGCGTGTATAGATTTTTAAATTTTACATCTATAATAGACTCTGGACTTGAACACATATTTTTTTTTCCTCTTGCTCTTTTGCTGGAGGTGAGCACCCAAGGCCTTCTGGTCGCCTCTCCACGTCCAGGCTGCACCCTGTTCTCTGCCCCAGAGCTGAGCTCAAGTGGGTGAAATCGCGGGCTCCCGGGGCCTCTGGCTGCTGGTGGGGTTTGGCCCGTGGGGAGCCCTGGAGATCAGAGGAAGGGAGGGGAGCGAGGTTAGGACAAGCGTCGCCTGGCTCCTTTGAGCTCAGCTCGAGCTGTGTCCCTCGACTGCAGGACACTGCTCCTTCTAGGTGGCACCTGCACACGACCCACAGCCAGTTCTAGAATCCTGGCAGCTGCCTCTGATTCACAGATCAGGGTCCTCTCCTGGGAGGGACATGGTTATGTGTCCCCATCTGACTACAGGAGGCTTCCCACACAAGCTCTTTTCAGCAGCATTCAAGACTCTCGACCAGTGCGGTCTGTCCATCAGCCAGTCACCTTTATAAACTGACTCCAAGGGCACCGTGCTGCCTGGAGAGGCTGGGCAACCATTTACCCCGTTTAAAAAGTGGCCCATCTCCTCGGCTAGGAAGAGTCACTGTTAGAAAAACGCCACTTCCTCTTAAGTTAGTTTCTAAATTTAATGCAATCCCAATAACAATAGCAAGAGGATTTTTTTTTTAAAAATTGGAACTTAGCTGACTCTAAAGTTTATAAATAGAAGAAAACAAAACATAAAGCACAGGCAGAAAAAAATCTCAAAGGCGAGGAAGTCTGCCTCTCTCATATTAAAAATGTGTAGAGCCATAGGGATTAAAACAGCACAGAACTTGGGCATAAGGAGACACATAGATAAATGGCACCGAAGAGAGGTCCAGAGACAGTTCCAAACACAGGAATTAGTGAACATAAATTATTCACAAACGGAATTGGACCAGCCGAGCAGCCACCTAGGAAAAAAGTCAAGTTATAGCTCATCTTGTCACAGGCTAAAGTCAAAATGGGATGATATTTATACATAAACATTTAACATTACCTATCTTAAATATATATTTTATTATATTCACATATAAGGATAAATCTAGACATTTGTGTTATTTGCATATTTATTTGTTTATGTATCGATATCGTATATTTTGACTTATATGTTCATATATTTACACTATAACATTATAAATGTAATTATTTATATAAATCCATAAATATTATAGAAGAGACCACTAGAGAATTCTATTATCATCTCAGAGTGGGGCTCAGCTACCAAAATGTAACCTGGAAACCATAAAATTCTTCAATGATAAATTTAACTATGTTAAAGTAAAAAAAAATAATGACATGGTAAAAAAAAAAATCACAATCAGAAAAGTCAAGCTAAGAAAATAACAGAAAATTATCTGTTACTCAGATCCCAGGCTAAAGGTTTTATATAAACCTTTCTGGTACAGAAACAGGAAGAAATGGGAGCTCAGTAGAAAAATGGGCAAAGACAGAAGCAGAGTTCATGGAAAAAGGAAAAGTTAATGCCTCACATTTTAAGGGGGCTCAGCCTCACTCATCATAAAATAAATATAAAGAAAAACTGCATTGGGAAGCCCTGGCCCGGTAGCTCGGTTGGTTAGAGCTTCATCCCGATACACCAAGGTTGCGGGTTCGATCCCTGGTCAGGGCACATACAAGAATCAGCCAATGGATGCATCAGTAAGTGGAGCAACAAATCGATGTTCCTCTCTCTCTCTACAAAAATAAACATTTATTTTTTTAAAAACTGCACTGAAATATCATTTTTCACCTTTCAGATCAAAACGTGTGATCCCTGGAGAGGCCCTGGGGGTGAGGACTCTCCGGCCTTGGGCCTGAGCCCGGAGCTGGGTGTGGTCCCCGCAGAGTCACCTGGATGATCCTCACCTGCCCCAGCCAGTCTGTGTCCTGTCATCTGCCCTATAGACACTCCAGGCTCTATTCCCTCACGGAACTGCCCTTGCTGGTTCCACATCCTGCTTCGGTGCCATTGTCTCACCTGCCCACACCCTTTGCCTCTGGGCACCCAGAGGAGCTGGCAGCAACCAGGCCGGCAACCCCACCCTCTTGTGGTTCCTCACCCGGATTCTGGGCTCTTGGCTGCCCTCTCGGTCCCCTTTGGCTGGGTTTGTTCCTCCAGCTCAGCCCCTAGGGACCACCCTTCCTACACATCCTGCTCCCCCGGGGCCATGTGCCTGGCATTCTGTGCCCCAGGAGCCCTCCCAGGGTCCCTGCCCACCAGGAGTGCCAGCCTGGTGGACTGAGAACATCTCTGGCAGGGCGCTGGCCAGCCTGGGTGCTGAAGGGTCCCGAGTCAGACTGGGGCTGATGTGCTCACTCACCAAGGCCGGTCACAGGGTAGAGTGGCCTTTACCCAGCTACTGGGCACAGGGCGGATGGCTCCATGGGCACCTGGTTGCCGCACTGGGCCTTTGGGACATCCCCAAACCAGAAGGGAGGGGAGTGGAAAGACCTGGATGGATCCTAGGAGGCCAGGCCAGAGGTGGGTGGGGATTAGCACGGGATTTGCTGATAGAGGACCTGGGTTTGAATCCTGCACTACCACTTCCGACTGTGTGAACTTGGGTACACGTCTTAATTTCTCTCACCCCTGTTTTCCCAGCTGTGCAAGGGGAACAACTCACATATCCTCAGAAGGTTGTTAGGATCAGAGGAGAGAGGGAAACTAGGGGCCCATGGGTGGACCTCAGAGGTATGGAACCCCAAACATTTTGTGCATATTTTGCATGAATATGAATATATGAATCTTTCCAGGGAGGAATCAGGTTCTCTCCCACCCCAAAAGGTTAAGAAACACTGGAGCC